AGGTAAATACTTGCAAAATTTATAAAAAATAATAACAGTTACAAGGCAAGAAAAAAAATAAAAGATGAGAGAAAATTGTAGGTATATTAAAGTACATAGGTAGCTCAGATTGATTACAATGACAGCTTGAATGGTAGTTGACAAAAATTGGTAGGCACAATACAGCATGTGGCTAGCACATAAAAGAAGACAGCAATGAACACAATGATAAGGTTGTTTGGGTTAAGTACATAAAAATTGGGAGATTGGGTAACACTAGATACAGAGCAAATTTAAAGCTCAGTGTTGGAAACTACGAAGATGAAATTAGGTACTTTTTGGTTTTGCTTTTAAATGAGGCAAAAGTTTGACAGCTTTTCAATTCACTAGGGAGTGAGTTCCATAGACTAGGTCCCTTAATTTGCATAGAGTGTTTACACAGATTAAGTTTGACCCTGGGGATATCAAAGAGATATTTATTTCTGGTGTGGTGATAATGGATCCTATTACATCTGTCCAGGGAGAGTTTCAGAGCATGGTTTGCATTTAAGAACAGGGTTTTGTAAATGTAGTTGACACAAGAGAATGTGTGGAGGGAGTTAATATTTATCAAGTTTAGGGATTTAAACAAGGGAGCTGAGTGTTGTCTGAAAGCAGAGTTAGTTATTATTCTGATGAGTTGATTTTTGCTTGGTGATGTTGGGCTTAAGGTGGTTTGCAGTGGTAGACCCCCATGCACAGATACCATAATTAAGATAGGGGTAGATTAGTGCATAATATAGTGAGAGGAGAGCAGAGTTAGGAACATAATATCTTATTTTAGAGAGTATACCAACTGTTTTAGAGACTTTCTTAGTTATGTGTTGAATGTGGGTGCTGAAGTTGAGTCTCTTGTCTAGGAATAGGCCAAGAAACTTGCCATCATTTTTATTACTGATGTTAATGTTGTCTATCTGTAGCTGAATTGCATTTGATGATTTGCTTCCAAATAAGATGTAGTAGGTCTTTTCTATGTTTAATGTTAGTTTGTTAGTTGACATCCATAAGTGGATTTTTTTAATTCATTATTCACAACATTATTTAGTGTATGTGGGTTGGGGTCTGAATAGATTAGGGTAGTATCGTCAGCAAACAATATAGGTTTAAGAATATTAGAGACATTAGGCAGATCATTGATATATATAAGAAATAGAAGAGGTCCTAAGATGCTGCCCTGTGGCACTCTGTTATAAATAATGGTGTGTGTTGTGCTTGCTATGGGGGACTTGGTATTATTAAGGGGTAAGGGTAGTTAGAAGACAAGAGTATCAAATATGGGAGAGCTAAAAGGTCCGGCCCCCAAAATAAACTATCCACAGTAGTAATAACTTGCTACTAGACCATATTTGTTAGTCTAAGGGTTGATCAGTGCACTCCCACACAGGAAGAAGGGATACTCTGTAATTCATGTACTTATTTATTAACCCCTTAACAACCCCCCATATACACTCACACCAATAACAATAATAATAATAACTTTACCACACTATCTTACGTTAAAAGCCTTGGTCCACATAGGCAGGATACAAGGTTTACACTAATAACAAGCTAGGGTAAAGTACTACTGGATAAGCACTGAAGCTGGATGCAGCTTAGGGTAGAGACACCACATGGTACCCTAATACAAAACACAACACTTAGGGGTACCCAAAACACTGGCAACTACTACCCCCAGGTCTCACCAATCGTTACTACCAGAGTAGGCACACTTAACACCATACAATACTTAACTTAATGGGACAGGAACTTAGGGTAAGGGAAATAAGTAAGAGGAGAAGGGAGGAGATTAGGGGTGCAGCCACAGAGTAGGTCTCGTCCGCACGAACGCCAGCCAGAGAAGCCTCCTAGCGACCAGCTAGGCCTCCCATGTCGTGGTGCCGGAAGGAGCCTAATTGATCGTGCAGCTAAGCACATTAAAGATCTTCCCCTATGCAACATATTGTTACTTTACAAATGATTAGAAAGTATTAGTAAGCAAAGTTGGTGCCTATGTTATTATTTAATAATCAACCCCCAGCTCAGTCTTTAAATGCTCTTTGAGAAACAATAATAGTCTTACGTCTGGCAGGGAAGATACAAACAATTGCCGCTCGAGATGCACTCAACTGTACTACCAGAAAGTTTAATAGCTCAATTTTGACCTCTGGTTTCCACTGGAGAACCCAGGGTCGTAACACACTCCAACGGTAATTGGTAGAGTGGAAGAAGTGTATCATTGATGGTTACACATTGGCGTCTGTTACTAAGATAGGATTGGATGTAGTCAAGGGCAAGGCCTCGGATTCCATAATGCTGGAGTTTAAGTAAGAGGTAGTTGTGATTAACAGTATCAAAGGCTTTTCTTAGGTCAATGAAGAGTCCAATCGGAAACTCATTTTTGTCAAGGGCTGAGTAGATTACGTCAAGGAGACTAATGATTGCATCATTGGTGCTCTTTTGGGACTGGAAGCCAAACTGGCAGGGACTGAGTATGTCGAATTTTACGAGGTAAGAATAGAGCTGTTTGTAAATAATTTTTTCAAATATTTTTGATAGAATGGGTAGATTTGATATTGGTCTATAATTGTTCATGTCCGCCGGATTGCCTCCTTTATGGACTGGCGTTACTCTTGCTTTTTTAAGGATATCAGGGGAAGGTGTGACACTATAGATTTGTTGAACAGTAGAGCTATGGGTGGGGCAAGGGCATGGGAGGCGCTCTTGTATACAATGGATGGAATTTCACTGGTGTTCCCTGCCTTGGTTTTTAGAGTGTATGATGGACACAACATCTGCAGGGCTGATTGGTGAAAGGAGAAGAGAGTTTGGATAGCTACCTGAGAGATATGTGTTAATATGTGTCTGAGTCTGTGGGATTTTACTGGCAAGATTAGCACCAACCGATGAAAAGAAGCTATTAAATTCATTTGCCATTTCTAAATCAGTTGACAGTGTATTCCCATCCTTATAGAGTTTTATTTGGTTATGTGAGTGTTGTTTAGTTCCTAGGATACTGGAGGGGGGGGGGAAGCAGCCCATATCAGCTGTCTAACTTCCAGGTACCTATTTACTGCTAGGTAATAGGGGCATCACGGTGAAAGAAACTCTGCCCATTTTTGTTTCTTGCTGGCGCCGGGAATCGAACCCGGGCCACAGGATTACGTGTCCAGTATGCTATCCACACAGCCACTACCCACTAGTGCACTGTGGTGGACTATTAAGAGATCTTTGACCAAGGATACTTAGCTGCTCATGGCTTCTCATTGTCTTCAGGTTATTTGTGGATGTGGTTCTCCAGTCCTTTGGATGTAACCAGGTCCTTGATAGCCTGCTCTCTGTGTTCTTATTAATGGAATATTGCTCAGGGATCATGATAACCGGGCTGTGGTGGGTATGTGGGCCTGCGAGCCGCTCCAAGCAACAGCCTAGTGGACCAAACTCTCACAAGTCAAGCCTGGCCTCGGGCCGGGCTTGGGGAGTAGAAGAACTCCCAGAACCCCATCAACCAGGTATCCAATGGTCCCTTCTTTGTGGGCTACATTGACTTATTTTTTTTCATATGGTGGGGAAAGACACTCCCAATTGCTTTGTTGGGAGCCAGTGCTTGTATCCTGTCAGATATATTCTAATTGACTATCATGCCAGTACAGTAGTTCTCTAGGTAGTTTTCTACCCTGGATTTACCCTGGATCTCTTAGTGTCTTCCATGAGCATGTATAGGTGGTCTGAACTAGTGGAAATTTCTAACTCTGCGAACTCATTATTGTGGTCGTGCTTACACCTGGTGGCACTTGTTGTAGCGTTGAGCTACTTTCAGGAGTTTGCAGTGCAATAATGGTCTTGATAGTACTCTTCTAATTCATAATTGCAGGCAGGTGTTTGAGGGACATGATTCATTATTTTGCATCACAGTGAGTTAGTACACTTGGTGGTTGTTTGAGTTGATCTTGCCACTGTCTTCCTTAATACATGTCAGGATAACTAACAAAAGATACTTGTCATGATGGGGATAAAAGTCAAAAGTATTGGATGGACCATAGAGGCCTAGTCTGTGGCAGAGTCCAAGGGTTGTGGTTGGAAAGTGGTGCTTCAATACACTTGATACTATTCACAAACCCCCACATGTTCAAAATTTATTGCTCATAGTCTCAATCTAAGATCACTCTTGACCATCACTTGAATTAATCAACCAGCTCTTCTTTGCTCAACTTCTATTCTTTCAGTTCTTGGATCATGCCAATCGCTAATTGGGGTTCTGTAGTACAGTGGTTTATGTCTCGACCTATCTAGTATCTATATCTTGGGTTCGATTCTTGGGTAGGACAAACTTTTGGGCATATTTCCTTTTTCCTGATGCTTCCATTCACCTAGCAGGAAATAGGTATCTGTGAGTTTGGCAACTATTATGGGTTGCATCTTGGGTAAGGTCAATTGATGATCTAGGAGGGGTAATCTCAAAAAACCTAGGTACAAGTTTCCTGTCCCCGACAACAGGAATGATATTCTTATACTGAACAAAAAATTTTTCCTACAGCTATCCAACTTGCAACAACAACGTCTGCTGGTGGAACAGCTGCGTCGTGAGGCATCTCTAAAGCGTTTGCCCGTTTCAGAAGTTGTGGAAGAAATCAAGCAGTTTATCCTGCAGCATGAACAGGAAGATTATCTCTTGATTGGCTTTTCATCCCAGAAGAATAATCCTTTCAGGGAGAGGGCATCTTGTGACATTCTTTAAAAATGTCTCCCACAGATGCACACACATTTGAGTAAGTACATTATGTATAAATTTTGTTATAACCCCCTACCTCATGACATCCACTTCCATTCCCTATCCACTAACAACCAAATGTGGCAAATTGGAGATGGGGAATGGGAGGGGGGCTGAAGTATAATGGTACTGTACTTGTCTAATATCACCTGCCTCATTTATGGGATGGGGGAAGAAATCTTGCCAAACACCTCAATTACCATAGCTTATTTTAGTTTTCTTTTTTCTTTTACAGAATGTTGTGCAGTTGCAGTTCTGGGTCCAAACTATTTTATATACTTTTTTTTTTATCTTGGCAATTTGCCTCACACCAAAGGTTAAATTATTATTTTGTGCATTGAGTTTGCAATTTTTTGTGCTTTATTAATATTACAATGCCAAATTTTTAAAATGCCTTTCATTAAGGTTTATCAATAAAAATGTAGTTTCAATATCATAGCTTTAAATACTATTGCCTTTACTAAAATGCCTTTCATTAAGGTTTATCAATAAAATGTAGTTTCAATATCGTAGCTTTAAATACTATTGCAAACCATTATACATGTATGATTTGGATGGAGTGCATCTGTGTGCTCCAGCTTCTAGTCTCTTATGCAAATAAAATATTAAATAACCAGTCTTGTTTAACACTCTCAAAGCAAATGAAAATGATAAGCAACACAGGACAGTAGGCATACTAACAGCCGATTAGTTTTGGAATAAATAAAACAATATAATTTAAAGATTTCATTTACTAAGAGCACCATGGTAAATAATGATACAGTATGAAACAACAGCCAATATTAGCTTCAGTGTACTGTTGAGACAAGGAATCTATAAAAAAGCTGTATAAATTAGAGCATGAATTCATTTACATCATTGTGATTTGGGTCAACAGACCTGAATATTACACAGAATAAAAAATAATTCAGGAAAATTAATATCTGTCGTTGCACCTCTAATGCATAACACAATGACACACTCATTCATATACATACATATACACACACTAACACTGTTATCACTCTGATTGGACTTGGTTAAAACTCACTATAACAGGGTATAAGAGCTCCATTACCTGATCACCCTCTGCACACTTCACAAAGAACAGGTCAGAATCTGACATCTTTGTCTCATCCTCACAAGAGAAACTGCCCGTTTTCTCAGTGAGCAACTGCTAGTGTACTATTGTCGTTAAAACATATGCGAGTTTAGCAAAATGTGAGCAAAATGATGCTTATCAGAGATATATACAAATGCACTAGTTAAAGCTAGAAATCATAGTAAAAAAATTTTTTTTAGTATTCATCACAACAAAAGTATACTGCTCTTTTATTATTGCTCTCCTTAAAAAAAATGAAAAAATACTGTATATGCAAGTCTGAGAGCATAGAGTATGCTAACAAATATTTGACATTAACATAAGCACCAATTCATAAATCATGTTTTTAGCATTACTGGTTTGGACGAGTATAAAAGTAACAAGATTACCTATTGTACAGCGATACTTCCTAGCCCTTAGAAGCCCACTCAAGTAAGCATCAACAACAAGTAGATCTTTTGCTACATTTCAAGATCAAATATCTAAGTGGTTTATCATCATTGTGATATGCTCGCCATTAAACCAATAAGCCATTAGCAGTTATATTTTTACATTTATATTAACATCTGCTGAAGACCTAGTGAGAAAGGCACATTTCAGACTCTTCCTAATACTGATAAACCACTAAGTAAACATTAACACAATCTAGACTGATCTAGACTCCCTTCAGGTTACACGAGTCTTGAAATGCATGCTTAAAATGTTGCCCCATTTATAGCTTTGGATAGTTAGAAGTTAAAAATTTAACTTCTCATAAAATGCACTATTAAATTTACAGCTGCAAATTCTTATGAGGAATGCCAAGCCAAAGTGCTTTTGAGACATCAATACTAATTAAAAAAAAATATATAAATATATATAAATCTTATACACCACCTAAGAACAATAACAGCGCGAATATTAAGAACAGTCGTACTTATTGTCTCATTACTTGCAAAGCTTCACAGCTTTTTCTTTAGTTTATCTCAAGATATTGTTAAATACCTATCATGCATCTGTTTTTTCATTACTGAAATGGGGAGGACAAAAATCTATTTACCTCTTACCAGTTCATCAAAGTGCTTTGGTAAATTTAATCACCAGAAGATAACGTATTCATACTAGAAAATACAAAATTAGGTTTCTAAGACTTTTCACTCTTCTATAAATTTTGTTGCTAAGAGTTTTCAAGAGCAGCACATAAAGCAAACAAATATAATTGATACTGCATGAGCTCAAAGAATCAAGGACACGAGGTTTAAATTAATTATTAATCAAGTTAGATACGAGATACTCCATGGTCAGCCTCCCTTGCCGGAGAAACATTGTGCTTGTCAATCTTACTAACACACCACATCGTACGCATTATAACAAAGCTGATAATATTCAAATGATACTTAAATACACTAGTTATACACCAGTTTCTCTTCTGAGTGGTGAAAGCTGAAGCCCTTTGCGTACCATAACTGATTCCAAATCTCTGTCTTCTTCCATGTATCTGAAAAGTTTAAGGTTTATGCATGTTAAAAAGGAATTTGATAAATACAGAAGACAAACATTTTCAGAATCAAACAATAATGAAAACTGATAGTCCAAAAAAAAAACATAATTACTCTGCATACAATAATATTAACTTTTAAGTACAGTAGTAAATAAATCATGTGACAAATAAGATGCCCACAAAGCAACATGTTCTCACCCCAACAAAACCCATTAGTGTTTGAATTCTAGATGCATAGGAATGTGCCAGTAAGTATACTTAAGACTGAAAGTATCAAACCAAGCAGCCGATGTAAACATTTGATGGATCACCAACAACGTGGTCACCTGGAGCGCTGGGCAAGCAATGAAAATCAAGAACTATTCTCTTCATGGAGATTTTTTTTTTTTTATCACAGGGAAGAGTCGAGACTGCATCTGATAAGTCTCTCAAACCACTTCCTAGTCCACTATCTCCTGGATGTGAAGAAAGTGTGGCAGAATCTTTAGTGGCAAAATTAAATTAGATTAGACTAGACTGATTAGACTGTTCTGTGTCTGATTAGACAAACAGTCTTCCTGGACTGACAAGACCAAACCCAAGCATTATCCTTGGACACCACTATCACCAAGCTCAGTAAATCATCATCATCACTCAAGATCATGCATGACTTCCCGATACTGGTGGTGCCAATACACCTGAAGGTGAATACAGGATGGTACTAGGAACTAGTATATTTGCGTGAGCTGCCTGCAACACAGCACCGTTCTCTTGAGCAAAAATACATGAAGCTGGTCCACAAGCACCTACTCCATGAGGGGAAACCATTTGCACCCACATCCTGCAATATATGCAACAAACATGCTTACAACTGCATCCTACAGGTCCAGTGCAAACAACTTGTTGAAAGCAAACAACTTTGTCACCAAACTAGAAAGCTGGCATTTTGGCTAGACTGATGGGAAAAAATAGCATTCATTTCCCCAAGGAAAATAAAGCATTTCCTGCCTGCCAGGAATGCAGTCAAATTCAAATTGAGCCAAATCCAGTTCAGATACATGATCACTGTGGGATGCTGGAAAATTCTGAAGAACTGTTCATCATATTCCAAAGAGCACGATATATGAGCAGAAATAAGGATTCGTCTTATCACACATTAAAAAAGGGGTACAGTAATCTAACTACATTCAGGAAAACCATCACAGGAAAAGCCCTACTTCTTTCACGATAGAAGTAGGGCTTGTAGGCAATCTAAAGCTAGCTATAGGAATGGAATTTCCCAAAAGAAATACTTTTCTTTTTGTAGGAGAAACTGGATTCTCCCACCTGTAAGCAAGAGCCGAGAACTCCTGCATTAACTCCAAAAAAACTGCAAAATCCCATACAGCAAAGATGATACAGAACCCTCAGCCACCATCTCAACATCTACCAGGGTCAGCATGTGACAGGACTCTGGCCTCTTTGACCCTGGAGCTTTTGAGGATGAGAGTCTGAGCATATTGAAAATACGAAATTGAATGACAAGCAGAACCCATTCTGTACTGAAGCCAAGCACCTACAGTTGGTTGGTTGCCTTGATCTCACAGGTCAAGGCAACCAAAAGAAAGATTCTTCTCAAAAAGAGCAGAATACTGTCAGGTATCTGCAAAATACAGGAACTGAGGTTGTTAGCTACGATATTTCTGGGCCCAAGCTCTAAGCATAAAGGTTGCTTCATATGCAGATATTAGGTGAACAAAGGTTAAAACCTAACATAACACACATTGCAAAAGATAAAATAGATGTCTTTCAGTGTCAAAACACTCCATACAGCACCAGGCATAGTCTGGATATAGTCATGGGATAATATAGTCAAATATCTATAAACATTTATGACTCAAGACACAGAATGAAGCGAATCTAAACCACAGTACATGCATTCAAAGATCCTGAACAGTGAAACTAGGCAACACCTTCCTGAAAATCTGGTCTCTGCCTGCTTGCCTGCCAGTCACCTGGTGGTGTTTAGTGATGGCCAACCAAGCCAACTAGTAGTTAGTGAGAGCCTTCTTAATCCTTAACTGAAATAATCATTATCTGCAATTACCTTGTGCTCAAATTCCTAAATGCAATTTAATGTGGCAATTTAAATGTGATATCACATGGATTTCAACCCTTCAGTACTCTCAAACTAATATGAAAGTAATGTTTTTGGCATTTTTCCAAACATCTCTAAATAGTTTTAGAGAGGTTTGGAAAACATCTTTAAAATATAGAGAAATATAAAATATTTCTTTCAATATAGAAAGAAAAGGAGAGGATCATGCAGCCAGGCAGGGTGGTATTTTGGCACTGTTGTCAGGGAAATTTTGAAGCAGTCCCTACAGTCATTTAAGGTGCTAAGGAGTCACTGGAGAAGTTTCAGTCCAACCTAGGATGGTTAACATTAGACCATTCATAAAAACACTAAGCCCTTCCAGACCCAACCTTGGCATTACAGATGACCACCAAATGAGAGCTCTGCAAAACACAAGTTGGCCTACTTGGCTAGCAACACTTGGCATCACCAGGTGATAGCATCACACAACACCTCTGGGCCATAACATTAGCCACTTCTCATACTTCCCAATGCATGTACTAGGAACAATTTCTATGCACTGGAAAGTGGGGCTGCAAAGAAGTTAACTGGAGCATAAAATGATCTGCTTAAAAAAAGTTTTTTTCATACTAAATCACTGTTATTCATATGCTATTCCTTTTAGCTGCTCCCTAAACCCATCCAAACACCACACACATGACAATGTAGAGAAAAAAGCTACAAATATAGCAACTTTTTCAACACAAAGTGAAGTATGAACCAAGGATGACTTACCTTGACCATCTTACAAATAGAATACAGTATATATATATACAGTACATGTTAACCACTTTTTAACATTGGGCTTAGGTTCATGAAAACTGCGACTTTAACTGAAATGACATTATGAGAAACAAAAAACATCACTAGACCTGGTGTTATAAGTAAGGGTCACTAGACCTAGTGTTATAAGTGGTACTGGTTATGATGATCTTTGGTAATTTTTTGCTCACTCACCCATCATATCTACCTGGCACTTTGTAGTTTAGTTACTATGATATTGTCTTCCTTTGTGTGTGTGGCCTTTCACTAGGATTACTTCGTGACAGATCATTTATCCATCATGCATTGTCCCAAAAATTTGTTTACTGAGATTGGAACTCTCGCACCTTGTATGTTTACGTCTGAGACCAGCTGGCAAGATGCCTTTATTATGGCAGCAACTAAATTCACTTGATAAATTGTTAACATTATTGTTGTATTATACAGTAAAGTATTATATAATTGTATAACAATAAAGTATTATATATAAACAGTAGTGTATTTTCTATAAGTACCATAGGCTTCCACATCATCTTCTCTATCCTTTGTTGGGAACCAAAAAGAAATAGAACTGTTTACTGGTCTGATGTTAAATTTATTCATTTATTTTTTCTAACAATGCAAAAATGAAATGATGTTAACAGGGGCAAATTTAAACAAGGTTCACCTGTACTGTATATAATGTATATACTGTAATGTATATAATGTATATACTGTAATGTATATAATATATATATATATGTCGTACCTAGTAGCCAGAACGCACTTCTCAGCCTACTATGCAAGGCCAAATTTGCCTAATAAGCCAAGTTTTCATGAATTAATTGTTTTTCGACAACCTAACCTACCTAACCTAACCTAACCTAACTTTTTCGGCTACCTAACCTAACCTAACGTTTAAAGATAGGTTAGGTTAGGTTAGGTAGGGTTGGTTAGGTTCGGTCATATATCTACGTTAATTTTAACTTCAATAAAAAAAAATTGACCTCATGCGTAATGAAATGGGTAGCTTTATCATTTCATAAGAAAAAAATTAAAGAAAATATATTAATTCAGTAAAACTTGGCTTATTAGGCAAATCGGGCCTTGCATAGTAGGCAGAAAAGTGCGTTCTGGCTACTAGGTACGACATATATATATATATATATATATATATATATATATATATATATATATATATATATATATATATATATATATATATATATATATATACATATAATCCATTAAAAACTAGTTGTTCTACAAATTAAAATAGGTATGTTAATATTTACATGCACAATACAATGGGGTCAGTAATTCATACAAACATGCATTAAAACATTCATAAATGAGCAATAAAGATTAAAAAAGAATTTTAAAGTATTTTATTGAATATAAAGAAAACTGAAGTGTGTATTTTGTTATCTTCCAATTTGGTTTGCTGTTTCACTTTAGAAAATTATATGTCCTGCAATTAAATACTAAATTCCCTGTTTAACTTGTCAATTCTTTAATTTTTGTTATCTTTGGAAACTTTCTCTTAGGGGAGGAATATATCACCAGCCTTCAAGAACTAAAAGTGTTCATTTTAGTGTAATTAGGAGCCAAGATATATCTATTAACAACACTTTATACATCATGATTCAACACACATGGCAATAGTCATGTCAATGGATCCTCACAAGTTATATTTGTAAACAGTACTCTACTTACTTCCTTTGCATCACACTATCTCAATCACTAATTAAAACATTATTATTCCATCTGAAAATAAAGATGGTGAAAGTTTCAGGAGGCCAGGAATATTACCCATTAAACTGCTCGAATCACTATCTGCAATTATCTCCTGTGCTCTGATAGCCAAGCAGCAATTTATTCATATTAGTTATGAAATATTTGTTTAGTCATGCATACCACAATGTAGGACTTTGAATTAGCTGGGCAACTTAAGAGTTAAGCAGATTAATGTTAATGGCATATACAAGAATGCATTGCATTTCCATTCAGTTGTTAGTGTTGGCTGCTGTAGTGTAACATGATGACAACTTACAGGGCAAGGTGAGGCCGGCACCAACAACACACTGCCAGCCAGCCATCCGGAAGGCAGAACACAAGGAAGAGGTTGTATGGGAGTGTCTCACTGTCTTGGGGAGAGTTAGCTTTGCCAACTACTGTATCATGCAAAAATACTCCTTACCATATATTAATGCACTACTGAAAATTATACCAGATTAACTATTTATACTGTAAGTAATACGAAATATAAATGCCATATTAATTGTCAGAGACATGGCCTTAATAATTCCATATAATGTACACGATACCGGTAAGTAAATGCGGCATGCACAATACGGTATTTATAGCACAAATTAATACATAGATTTACACTACACACTGGATCAAATTTCTAGTAACTAGTCAGTGACAATCTAAGTACTACCAGTCCAAATATTAAAATGGGGCTGGACCCTGGTAAGTTTGACAGAAAAGTAGGGACAAAAAAGTTACTATGTGTGGCAAAAACCACACAATGATAACAATTATCATAGCATAACCACAAGCAGTGTTTAGCAAGCTGGAGTTGCACTTATGACTACTACTACTGGCACCTTCTGCTTTACTCCTACTGGAGGATGAATTGGGTGGATTAACTTGGAATGGAAGTGGAATTGAGAGACTGGACCGACGAAAGGGAAATGATGGGTCTGTGAACTTCTGTCTACTCAAGCTCAGGTCTGGAACAGTAGTGCGTCTTATACGCCCTAATTGACTAAAAAGATTTACTTTCCTCTGAGCATGCTGATATTGAGTGCACGTTTTACTACACGGGTCACGGTCAAAAACACTGGGTTTACGAGATGACGGATGATGGTCAAAGTGACTGAAACGCTCACTAAGAGCTAGGGAATGGAAAGCATGATTTAAGGATGAACTCAAGCAAGCATGCAATACTGAAGCCACTTTGGTCTCCTGATTATCCATGGGTATTAACAGAGATGTATTTGAGGTCATTTGTCCATGGCTGACAGGCAGAAATAATGAAGCTAATGACTGAGATGCTGTTGGATGTAAATATGAAATATGTTGAAGCTTAGTTGTGAGGTAAGGTGTCAGTTTGGTAGTGGAGGTGCAGAGTGATGTGGTGGAAGGCTTGGTGGAGGTAATCAGGTTGTTGGGAAGCCTCTGAGGGGTGAGTGAGGCACTGGCTGTGAGGAAGGGCATGGGATTGTAGTTGTGGCCGCACCTCTGTCTGTCTTCCTCCAACATGGTGACTAATGCATCCTTCTGTTCGAGGATACTCAGCATTTCTGCAAGGATGATGCCTTCACGATCAATGTCTTCCCGGGATTTTTCATGCTCTGAAACAGGATATTATACTCCATTAAATTATACAATGAAATAAAATCCCCACAAACAGTAGTCTAGCAGAAACAAACTTTATAGTAACTTAGTATTTTGACAAAGCATTAGTAAGAAATTGTGAACCGTTATAATTAGCATTTGTATGAGAATTCATGTATTGTAACTGAGAAGGCTGCTCTTATTATGTACAAAAAAAAATGTATTTGGATACAGTAGCTGTTTCCCCCCAATATGCAAACACATCATGTCCATAAATATTCCTGTTATCAGATGGAAGCCTATACTTAGGCTTATTGAGGTCCCCCTAAGTCAGCTACTGACCTCTCTCTAGGATGTAACCCATAACAATTGCCTAACTAACAGGTACCTATTATACTGCCAAGTGGACAGAGGCATCAGGTGAAAGGAGACATGTCTAACTGTTTCTATCCTGCCTGGAGACTGAACCTGGATCCCTTTGTTGTGAGCTGAGGACATAGACCACTGTGCTACAGGACCTGGTAAATGAGTGGTAACCAAGTACAGTGGAACCTCTGTTATCGAACGTTCCTTTTTACAAATTTTTAGGTTACGAGCTCAATTTCTTCATAAAATTCGAATTGGTTTACAAACTTTGCCTCACTTTGCAAGTTTGTTGATACAGTACAACCTCGATTCAACGAATCTCCGGCTAGTTCGCACACTTTTCAGGCCGGATTTACTCACCCGGTTCGACGAACAATGGTTCGCCGAAGTGGGGGATATTCGGGTTTGCTTACGATGTCAAGACAGAGTTCACAGACTGGTGGAAAACTTTCCCATTCTATCACAGATTACAATTAATAATTCGCTCATATGACAAGTTCGATCACACAAGTGAACCACACAAGTGGACCTCACAAGTGATCCGCAAGTGGTCCACACAAGTAGACCGCACAAGTGATCCACAAGTGGTCCACAAGCTTACGATGTTGGGACAGAGTTCACAGAGTGGTGGAAAACTGTCTCATTCTATCACAGATTACAATTAATAATTTCTTCATAAGATAAGTCGTATCACACAAGTGGACTACACAACATGTGAACCATATGAACCAAACACCAGCCAGAATGGTCCACACAAGACGTGATGCATATTAACCAAACACCAGCCAGAGTGGTCTGTAGTGGTACGTATCTTTGTAAATTAATTTAAAGACTGAACCGTGAATAGCTAGCTAATGTGTTGAAATCTTCTTATATACATTTTCTCTGATGAAACAAGATGAGTGAGGGTGGACAGATAAGGGAATACTGTACAGCAAACCTCACTTTACAGTGAGGTTTCACTCACTTGCGTCTGTGTCATCATAGTTCAGTGACCCATGACTTTGAACGTTTCAGATTAATAAAATCATTTCTAAAACTGGTGTTTTAATAACTCTTTATTATCCTAATTAAACTAAACTAAATAAAACCAAAAATATACTGTAAATATGATAGATATCTGCTATTTGAGAAATTATTCATGTTATTGGTGGCACAACTCCAGCACGAGTGGATGGGTCTAATTCGTGTGCACACAACACCATGCGTGTTTTGTTCGATTTTGTCACCACATTCAGTGACCTAAGGCTTCGAAATAATAAAATAATTAAATCAGTTCTAAAATAAGTATTTTTTATAGCTCTTATTATTGTAATATGTTGCTCAACTAAATATATAACCCAAAATTATATAATTTGATGTAAATTGAATATTTGAGAGAAATTTATGTTACTGGATCTGGCTTAAACACCAGCCTACTGTAGGGTGCACATATAGACCCAGTCTGTGTTCGTACAGTATGCACCCAGTGCCCTTAGCTTTCTCTGCGATTGACGTACAGTATTTAACTGCCGGTGGAAGAATAATCGTGGAATTTACTATAGGGGCAGGTCTAATTAACAATAGGGCTCCATCAAGGAACACATAATCGCCACACACAATCAGGCAATCACCAGTGATATTTTGATGAGCAGCACCGAAATAATTAATAGATACAAAGACAATAGAAGATTAGACATCAGTGAGGTGCTGCATATCAAGAAATCTAGACCAGTAATAAACAACCAGCTATTACACAATTACACACTACCCACTTCAAGACCCTGGGCCAACGCCGCAGAGGCAGGCCCGAATGACCCTGCCACAGGTGACAAAGATTAAGCAAGAAAGAGAAGGCTAGGTGGACTGCATTTTCTTGGATTGTCAGAAAGCCTTTGACACAGTACCGCATAGAAGGCTGGTACATAAGCTGGAGAGACAGGCAGGTGTAGCTGGTAAGGTGCTCCAGTGGATAAGGGAGTACCTAAGCAATAGGAAACAGAGAGTTACAGTGAGGGGTGAGACCTCAGATTGGCGTGAAATCATCAGTGGAGTCCCACAGGGCTCTGTACTCGGTCCTATCTTGTTTCTGATATATGTAAATGATCTCCCGGAGGGTATAGATTCATTTCTCTCAATGTTTGCTGACGATGCCAAAATTATGAGAAGGATTAAGACAGAGGAGGACTGCTTGAGGCTTCAAGAAGACCTAGACAAGCTGAAGGAATGGTCAAACAAATGGTTGTTAGAGTTTAACCCAAGCAAATATAATGTAATGAAGATAGGTGTAGGGAGCAGGAGGCCAGATACAAGGTATCATCTGGGAGATGAAATTCTTCAAGAGTCAGAGAAAGAAAAAGACTTGGGGGTTGATATCACGCCAGACCTGTCTCCTGCAGCCCATATCAAGAGGATAACATCAGCGTCATATGCCAGGCTGGCCAACATAAGAACGGCATTCAGAAATTTGTGTAAGGAATCATTCAGAACTTTGTATACCACATATGTCAGGCCAATCCTGGAGCATGCAGCCCCAGCATGGAGTCCATATCTAGTCAAGGATAAGACTAAACTGGAAAAGGTTCAAAGGTTTACCACCAGACTAGTACCCGAGCTGAGAGGTATGAGCTACAAGGAGAGACTACAGGAATTAAACCTCACTTCGCTGGAAGACAGAAGAGTTAGGGGGAACATGATCACCACATTCAAGATTCTCAAGGGAATTGATAGGGTAGATAATGACAGGCTATTTAACACAAGGGGCACACGCACTAGGGGACACAGGTGGAAACTGAGTGCCCAAATGAGCCACAGAGATATTAGAAAGAACTTTTTTAGTGTCAGAGTGGTTGACAAATGGAATGCATTAGGAAGTGATGTGGTGGAGGCTGACTCCATACACAATTTCAAGTGTAGATATGATAGAGCCCAATAGGCTCAGGAACCTGTACACCTGTTGATTGACGGTTGAGAGGCGGGACCAAAGAGCCAGAGCTCAACCCCCGCAAGCACAATTAGGCGAGTACAATTAGGTGAGTACAGGAACAGAAGCAGCCAGAACAACATAAGCTGCCAAAGTGTCAATATCTTGATACATTTAATTCCTTATCAATATCCCCTATGTACTGTAATTCCATTGAACTATATGTTACCTATTCATACATACGTTATCTAACCACCTCACCATAAGAGGATAAAACCCGGCACTAAGCACGGTAGAATTTGTTTTTGAGAACGTGAGGAGTGACCTTGTGAAATGCATCACTAGGTGTCAGACCCAATAAAAAGTGTAAAAATGAACTTGAGAGTAAATTTCTCAACTTCTGCTTCAGTGAAGAAAATCATAAGAAATACTGGTACATGTATCAAGAAGATCCCAGATGCTTCTGGCACTGGATTCCAGAATTCCAGTGCCAGATCCATAAATCTAATAATTTATAATTTTCCATGAAATATGTTTAAAAGAAAGACTGCTACCAAAATATACTAATATATATATATATATATATATATATATATATATATATATATATATATATATATATATATATATATATATATATATATATATATATATAATTTTATTTTTTATTTTTGGTTGCATATTGGCTTGGGGACCATTCAAGCTTGTTCGCATTTGTATTACTCACGTGGCCCCCAACATGCAAAGGCGATTCGATGAAATATCTGTCCCAAAAATTTACCACTGAGTTGGTGGTAAATTTACTTTACCCAACATGGGTTGGGTTAAGGGTATGATGACTTCCAATCCTTTTGAACAGTCAGTGTGGTCTAGCGGGTTAAGTACTGAATACGCTAAGGTGCATGTAGCCCTGGCTGTCTGGGTTCAAATCCTTCAGGGGCGAGGAGTTTTTGGTTATATATATACTAGTACTGTGTTATATTATATATATATATATATACAGTACATATAAATATATATAATAGGGGTACCACCTCTGGTGCAATTGGAGGGACCTACAGCCTCGAAGAAGAAAATAAAGAGTACTCAGAGAAGACCTTGTGGATATATTATATTACATATAAAATGATGTACAGGTGTAATTGTATATTTAAAAATAAAATATATTTACTTACAGTACAAGTGTAACAATTAACTAAAAAAAAGAAAAAGGATGTCATTTTACAGAGTAAATAAAACTAAAATTTAACCAAACTTTACAATGGGAACTAAAAAGCGTAATTTTGACAAGCCGAGGATCCTGACATGGAATAATACTGGTTGCGGGAACTGCACTCTGCTCTACTAGCAAATCCTGCCTCAGAGTCTACTGGTGACTTGGAAATTGATGTCCTTGTCACATACCTGTCCATTTTCTTTCTCTTTGGCTTTTTGTGATCTCATTCTGGATATGTTCTTTGAGCAGACAGAGTTGTGGATAGAAAGCTGCAATGTCATTACTGTGTGTTTTACAGCACATCTTCAGAAGGGACTCAACATGGCCAACACATGTTTTGTAGTTTACCTTCATGAATAATTCACCCACATCCTCCACCTGAACACCACTAAAAATGGCCGCAATTTCATCCTCTGTAAGAAGACCATACCCAAGGTCATCTACATCTCCCAGTAACCACTCCAAAACTGTTCACCTCCTTATCCACTACAGGGGTTTTGTATCTAAGCATTCTTAACAAAATCATGGTCAAACCCTTCAAAATTGTTTTCATCATCTCTATTATCACCATCACTACCACTATATAACTACGTACAACGAAATCACAACATGACATATCTATGAAAAAGTCTTTGGAGCAGCGTGTGGAATCGAACATGCATTCTGGAACACACCAGACACATGCATATCGTGGTCTAATTGGTAATGTGTACACCTGCTCTAAAGATTTTCTCATCACCACCACTATCATTGTCATCGAAATCATCAAGCAACTGGAGTTTGTATCTCCAGTTACAAACTTCACATTGTTTCATTTTGTCCAATGTAGCCTCGACTTGACCCTCAGCTTATGGTACTCTATTAAACACAACAACAATGTTGTGCATTCTTTTCCAATGTGCTTTATTTCCCCTATTTTGAGATGAAGCTAAGACATTAATATGAAAAATTACAAATTAGAGAAGTAGAATTAGACAATTTTAGATGCATTTGTGAAGAAGGATGACAAACAGAATAATGAAAATGTCACAGGAAGATTTTTAGTGCAAATTTTAAAGATTCATTAAAGATTAAAGATAAAACCAGTGTTGAATGTAATGAAATACTAGTTTCTGGGTGATCCCTGGAGGCTCTGTGAAGCTATCTTACTGATCAAGTGTCATCAGCCACAGAGTTCTTTGTAAGCCTACCAGGAACCATAAGCCAGAACCTGGCCCCCTCAGAGAGGTGAAGGTAGCAATGGCTTTTTTGCTTTGATGTCCAAAGGGTTTGGAAAGGATTAGGGAGGTAGAGGGATGGGGAGGTGAAATTCTGGAAGAGGATGCGGATGTAAAGAGAGAGAGAGGAGGTTTGAAGGTTCGGTGGCCAGTCCACCATGGATTGGCATATGTGTGTGTTGTTTGTTTGGGTATGTGGTATGTTGGGTTGTCAGTACATTGGCTGGGTGGCTAGTGTTTGTGTCCTAGCTGGTGTCTGGAAGCCCTAGAGCCATTGGAGTTGGCTGCAAGAAATTAATCTTAGCAACATCAGGGAGGTTACTCTTCTGGTAGCACAAAAATCAGCATTGAATGTAACGAAACGCCATTTTCTGGGTGAAACCCGGAGGTTCTCCGGAGCTTAGTAGGCTGATATGCTAATGTCAGACTTTGGCATCAGTCATGTGTATGGAGTTCTGTGGGCCTACCGAGGACCACAAGCCAGAACCAGGCCCCCTCAGAGAGGCATGGGGAGCAATGGCCTATAGAAACCCCCCGTGTGGTTGGATGCATTCTATGTCTGTCATCGACCGGGTCAGGCACCCAGAAAGGTAAGCATCCCAAAACAAACCCCTATTCTGGTGAAATTATTGCTACCAATAGCCAAACAAGTGGATAGAACTCCCCTAAAAGAAACGAGCAAACGATCATGACGTCACACGTTGCCGCACTGCTGTCTGTACAGCTCCCCCCCCTCCCCAGGAGGGAGAAGGGGGAGCCCCAGACCCCTCATGCCAGCTATCCACCCGTCAGTTCTGAGGCTGGATGTAGAAACACACTTAAAAAAACGCCGACCGGGGAAGGGAGGGATGCCGGGGACCCAGAAAATGGCGTTTCATTACATTCAACGCTGGTTTTCTGGGGGGAGCCCCTTTGGCTTCTCCGAGCTAACTACCCAGAGGAAAAACGTAGGGACTTACCCGGGAGGCACGCGTTGCTCACTCCACAGCACGAAGTTGAGGCTGCAACCGCCGACCCAAAACGACACAGGCCCGACGAGGCCCCGGAACGTGCATGAGGCAATGAGCAGCCAGGACCCTGTTCGACCACCAAAAGCCCTGTGCCCGAATGTTAGCCCAGGACATGGTATTAAAGACAGCAGCAAGAGCAGCAACCTTACGAACGTCACGGGCACGGGGATAGACAGCAGGCTGGCTGGCCTGAAGAACTCTGCGGACGACCTGGGAGACCTGCACCCGCGAACAGGGAAGAAGGGAAACCGGATCAACCCAAAGCACGTCCCTGGACACAGAAGCTATGGAGCATAATAACAGCAAAGAGCCGCCACCGGACACAAAACACGATGCACCCCCGGCCCAACCAACGAAGCATCAACAACCCAGAGAACCCCTCCAGAAAGCAGCCGTCTCATTCTTCGCCAGAAAAGAAGGAAACGGCTGCAGACGAACAAAACCAACACAAAGACCGAAAGAGCAGAAACCCCTGCGCCGGAGGAGAGCATGAAGCGCCCCAACTCGACCCCCAGAGGCCAATGTCAACAGAAAAGGGAGCCTTGGAGAACAATCCTGAACAGAAGAGGTCACAACAAACTAAGGAGAAGAAAAGAGCACCCTGTTCAATGACTAGGACGGCTCAGGCAGTGCCAGAGCAGGCCGGAGGTGAAACAATGCACGAGACAGCATGCGAAATGGCGCTTAAGTTACATCAATACCGAAAGCAAGCTGAAGCGGCTCCGCCAGGACCACACGATACGAGGCGACAGTATGGGGCAAGATGACACCCCCAAACCTACACAAGAGAAGGACAAGACCATGCCAACAAACGCAGCTACCGAAGAAGGGACAGAAGGAAAAGGCAGGACCGCCAAAAACCCCACACTGCCACCAAGAAACACGCAGGTGGGACACTATCAACGAAGCCACCCGACCACCAACAAAAAGTGAAAGACTCGAGGCAGAACTGAATCGACCCCGCAATGGGCCAATCGAGCCTAGGACGAGGCAGAGCCGCGGGAAGATCTCGGGTGCGACCATGGAACCAGCAGAGTTGGAAACCTAAGCCGGCAAAGGAGGAGATGGAACGTCCGCCATACAGAAAAACATCCCAACGCCTGCGAGCCCGCCAGGAAATCGTAGACGACAGTCCTAACGCGCGATTCTAGAGAAGGGAAAAAGGTGCAAAGGTACGCCACCAGACCAGTACCCAAACCAAGGAGTACGAACTACGAGGACATGATCACCACATTGAAGATTCCCAAAGGAAGGGAGAAGGTAGTGAAAGACTGACTACGGGACCCCTGGGACCACGGGGATAAGAGCCTTGTTGGATGTGGAGTCACTATTTACCAACGTACCTGTGGACGAGACAATCGGGATGATAGCAGACAGAGTGTATCGTGACGCGGCTTGCACTCTTCTTGACATGCCAGAAAGCATACTAAGGAAACTACTCCAAGCCTGCACTAAAGAGGCACCCTTCGTGAGCCCAGATGGGCACATGTATAAGCAAGTAGATGGGGTTGCCATGGGTTCTCCCCTAGGTGTCCTGTTTGCGAACTTCTACATGGGCACCATCGAGCAGAGGGTCTTAGTTGACATGGGCTTGAAACCCGCCGTATACTGCAGGTATGTTGACGACATTTTTACACAGGTACCTGATGCCAGATGTCTGCAGCAGCTGAAGGAGGCATTTGAGCAGAATTCTGTGTTGAGTTTCACGTATGAGATGGAGAACAATGGGAAGCTGCAGTCAATTTTTGCATTATGTGTTATCTATTTACAGCTCACTTTAGCTGGACTATGTCTAGGCTTCTGAGTACCAATGTGAACCTGCCAGGACACTTGAAAAGTTTCCTGTGGGATCAGTATCTAAAACATTGCCCCTTCTCACTTTACTCCACAGAGAGCAGAGTCTTAGTGTACGGGCAACCAGGTGGGATAGTTCAGATAAGATCCTAACACCAAACTTTCAACTGCCTTTACCAATGTCTATACTTTCACAAACTTGTTACACAAAGCCAATAAACAAAATTAATCAATAATAATAATAATACCTTATTATTACAGATGGCAATTTCCTATGGTAACTTACCTGAGAGGGCCATACGATGCCTGAGCTCTTGTTCTAGTCTGACATGACGATCCTCCAGCTCTAGCTCTTTGGCCCGGACCATGAGTTCCTGCTCCCATCTCACTAAAGCATTCTTTTCATGAACCATTGAGAACCAGTCCCCCATCAACTCTGCTTCATCACGGTTTGCTCCATTCTGATGGTAGTAATTTAATTCATTACTGTGATGGTTGTACTAAATACCAAACAAAGAAATTGTCATGGCAGATTTAACAGCAACAATGTAAATCTCAGACATAATTTTAAATTATATATGTTAAATGTAGTATAATAGCCAATGGATATTACAGTACTATACAACCTAATGCCCACACATGATATTAAATGCAACTGATGGTGTTTCGGTCTTGAATGTCATCACTATCATTTATTAGGAATGGGTTGGGTTATTTGTTTTAGCCACATTATTGTGGTATTCTCTGCACAGTACTGCACATATATACATATAGTGCTTACTGAGAGAGGATACATATAATGGAATGTACAAATGAGATTTCTAGCAAGAAAAATTTATTAAACTACTACTATAAACTTTATGAAATCTAATGAAAAGAACTAAATTCATCATACAGTGTAAATACAAACTTAATTTCAGTAGATTTTTACTGTAATCATTTTATCTTCATGTGTATCTAGCTTGAAATGTTCATAAATTAAGTTTTGCTGAATTTGTATAGCTGTCAAGAACTGTTTTATGGATCAGATCTGTAGCCAGGCATGTTGTTGATTTAGCCAGAGACTGGAACATTGTTTACGAGTTAACCCATTCATGGGTTTACTCATAAACAGTTAACCCATGAATGGGTTAACAACAACAGGCTAAAAAACCAGCGATGAATGTAATGAAACGCCATTTTCTGGGTGAGCCCCGGAGGCTCCCTGGAACTTATCGGGCTAATGTATGTTATATTAGACTGGGACATTAGCTAAGGAGTTCAGACCTACCAGGGACCAGCGCCAGAACCTGGCCCCTTCAGAGAGGTTTCAGGGAGCAATGGCCCTGGAAAACCCCTTGTGGTTGGGGTTTTCCTTATCTGCCATCGACCGGGGTTAGGCACCCAGAAAGGTAGGCATAAGAAAACAAACCCAACATGGTAAAAAACTAAAACAAAAAAATCAAACAGAGGTAGAAACTCCCTACAATCCCAAGGAAACAAGCAAACATCACACTCTACTGCCGCACCGATCGTCCGCGCAGCCCTCCCACCCTGAGAGGGGGAGGAGGGAGCCCTGGACCTACCGTGCCGGCTGCCTAGCTTCAGTTCGGAAGCTAAGCTTCAACCAACGCGAAAAAAACGCCAACCAGTTGTAATTCCCTAATTACAAAATAGGGAAGGCAACAAAAGCGGCAAGCATGAAGCCCCACCACCAACTGTGCCAGTCCCGGAAAACTGGAGAGGACCGTGCCAAGAATTGACCTGGAGATCCAGGGCCACCATCCAGGCACCCGGCCCCAACAGAAGCCGGACAGGAGACAACAGTCCTCCGATGAGGGCATAGAATCCAGGGCGCAGACTGAAGAAGTCCAGAAGAACCGCAGATTCGACAGGCCCATGTCTGCAAAGAGCAGACGGGAACCCCAGAAGGATGGGGCGGATCAACCACGTCCAACGCACCCACTAAGATGACATGACGAAGTGCAGGGGATGAAGCCCACCCCGCCAGCCCTGAACCCCCCAAAGGGGGAGAAGCCGTCCACCGCCGCTACCAGAGGCCGGAAGACAACCAAAAGCGCCCACTAACTGAGGGACCATGTGAGAGTCAACAGAGCAAGCTGCTCCCCCAGCATCCCATCAACAGAGAATAGAACAGAGCCCCCTCCAAAAGAAAAGGTACATATACACATTCACACAAGGTATGTTACACACACATGTGTATGCACATACACATGTGCACACACACACAATGTACCCATGTACATGTGTACATACACATGCACGTGAAAAGAAAAATACAAGCCGCCGACCAGTGGGCAGAGAGCACCACGCCGGCCAGGCAAAGAAGGCACAAAACTGCATCAAAAGGCCCACCTCGACAACAAAACCTCCAAGTCCCAGCACGACCACAACATGTGCCAAGACCCAAAAAGATCAGTCTGCAAGCCAGGAAGACCCCGGAACTCCAGAAGGCAGAACCGGGTCACACACAAGGAAACAAAGCCCCCTGAACCGACAAAGGGGGCCCCAAGAGGAAGAAACCTTCGGAACGAAACCAAAGAACCCAAAGGAACCCAGAATCGAACCAGGGGGGAGCCCAAACCACCACATTTGCCGGCGGAGATACACCACAGAAAGGCAAAGCACAGCCCCCACACAGAACCCCCAGAGAAACTGTCAAAACAGACCGAAAACCGAGGGACAAGGTGTGGGAGCAAGCATAACAGCCAGGGACACTGAGCCCAAACCCAAGGGCCCAGACCCAAAACAGACAAAATGGAAAACCTGGTATAAAATCAACACTCAAACGTTCCCAGAGGAACAGGAAGCGGGCAGAAAACACCAGAAAAGCAAAGAAATGACAACAGGAGAATAAAACCCCTGAAAAAAGGGTGAAAACTCACCCCAGAAGCTATCTTGCACACCCAGGCGCATGTAAACAAACCGCAACGCCGCCCTGGTGGCCACGCCGGGAAACCGGCAGAAGAAAATGGCCACCAGAACAGAGGGCTGTGACCGACGCAAAAGATACTAATACACGCCAGCAAAAGTGGGAAGCAAGCAGACTGGATGGGCGAAAAACTCCGCCCAAAAGCAGAAAACCCAGGCAGGGGCAAACCGCCCCAGAACTGCTAGCAGGCATTCCCCACAGCCCCAGGAACCAGCAACAGAGGCCCAGGGGCAGAGCCGTCCTCCAAGCCCTCCGCCCTTAAAGAAAAGGAAGAGTCCATGGGAAAGGCAGCAAGAAAGGGCCGCTGGTAAGACCCAGAAGCCTTGGCAGGAGGAACAGGCTTGAAAACCTCCGTCCCCAACCCGAACGTGGCAGCCCCCGAAAACCGCCCGAGTCTCAGCCCCAACTAAACCCCGCCCCGACCCCGAAATTCGCAGACGGTCCGGAGTTGGGAACAGGGAGGGAAAGGGGCGAACAGCACCTATCCAAAACGGGGCGGCCTCGGGGCATCCGAGTGAGGAGAGTACTGGAGAACAAGCAGAGAATATTTCTCGTAAGACTCCGGGTCAAGGTGTCAGTGACCCAACAGGCAGCATGATGGAGGTAAAAGTAGCGACTGTCACTCGGAGACAAGGGCACAGCAACCAACGATCCCATACAAGACGGGTTGGAACCCAGAAAACACATTCAATGGTCCACCGAGCCCAGACGGGGGTTTCCAGGGCCCGTAGGCTGACTGCTACGGAAAGTCCAGGTAAGGTGTTGCTAACCGGTTAAGAAACCCAAAAATAACAAGAGGGTAGAGGATAGCACTGAAAACCTCTGCAACGTGTACAATCACAGGGGCCTAGCAGAGGGCCACCGAACACTACCAGTGGAACTATAGCCACACTGGGCAGACCCCCACCAGGCAATTGAAAATAAAAACAAAAAGAAAACCCCTGCAAAAGTACACCGTCTCCAGAGGCAACAGGAACTGGTCGCCACTTAGGTGGCAGGTCACGCAACACCTTGACGCCTTAACCAGCACAATACCAGTCCCTACCCAGGGCCAAATAAGGGCCCCAAGCCCCAGTTGGCCCTAAGTGCGAGGCAAATGTCGAGCAGCAAGAACCTCTATGGGAATGGTTCCCGAACGCCTCAGAGAAGATAACCCTGTCACCCACTAAGTCAGCCACTAAGCGTATGCAGCCCTGGCACTGATGAGGTACTCCTGGCCACCGCACAACACAACACACGGCAGTGAACGCCACACAAGGCAAACACCGCCTAGGAAACTGAGGCCAGAGAAGCGTTTATCCTGGTTGACATTAGCTTACGAACTGAAGCTAGGCAGCCGGCGAGGTAGGTCCGGGGCTCCCCCCTTCCCCTCTCGGGGCGAGGAGGGCTGCGCGGACGATCGGCGCAGCAGTAAAGTGTGATGTTTGCTTGTTTCCTTGGGATTGTAGGGAGTTTCTACTGCTCTGTTCGTTTTTTTGCTTTAGTTTTTTACCATGTGGGGTTTGTTTTGTTATGCCTACCTTTCTGGGTGCCTAACCCCGGTCGATGGCAGATAAGGAAAACCCCAACCACAAAGGGGTTTTTCCAGGGCCATTGCTCTCTGAAACCTCTCTGAAGGGGCCAGGTTCTGGCGCTGGTCCCTGGTAGATCTGAACTCCTTAGCTAATGTCCCGGTCTAATATAACATACATTAGCCCGATAAGCTCCAGGGAGCCGTAGGGGCTCCCCACGGAAAAGTAAGGCATATTGCCCACATCTTGCTGAACATGTGTGAGTTGAATGAGCCTTTACCACTCACTAGGAGTTTGGGATTTGTTCTTTGGAGTTTAAATTGTTTTCTATTTGTGTGGTTATTGCATTTTGTCCTAAGCCGCTTCATTTTCGGTTCCCTGTCTGGTCTGGCAGACTCGAGTCCAAGCACATCATTTGTGCCTGAGGGTTGTTGGGTATATTCTTTGGTAAATGAGGAGTTATTTCTGTTGTGTCTGGTCTGATGCTGCATATGGAGCTGCTTGATCTGACTACTGTATAACTTTGGCATGTAATGACTGGTTTCCTTTCTGGCCATTTGTGTTGGACCTGCACAAGTGTCTTTGCAGGCCACACATACTACACACCTGACCACCAGGTTCTGTCATCAGTTTTGCTTGTGGGTGGCTATCCTGATTTTTCTCCTTTACTTTGCTTGGCTTTTGGCACCATCCCTGCATTTGGATGCCACTGACTATACAATTTGGCCTGATTTCACTGGAGGCTTGTGCTCTTTTAGGTTGCTTAGTGTTAAGAGTGCCAGTATAGCATTCTTTGGTGCACTCCAGCATGTGATGATTTATTTCACTTCACTAACTTTTCAGGTTGATTGGGTCATGCTCAAGGTCCACTGTCAGGCCCTGGGATTCCACTGCTGGGTAAGTGCCTCTGCTATCTCTGCATTTTGGCTGTTACGGTCTCGTCACCATCGTCGGAGTGTAGAGTGGCAATTTCAGCGCCAACTATGGGTCTGCACTCCAAACCTCCTGGTATTGGATGCTACGTGTACAACACCATCTGTGGATGGTGGTGTGGCAGCAATGAATGGCTCCTGTTTCCTGCTTTGGTCAGACAGAGAGGTTGTTGTCGATGATTTCTGGTGAGTGGTGTGTCGCGATCAGCACCATCTGTTGTGCTACAGAGCATAATGTCAACTCCCAGGTGAGTGTTACCTCATGGTTTCCCCAGTGTACCGTCCATTTAACGGATGACGTTTTATGTCCACAGAGGTGACGTGTGGAGGCAGTCGTACTGAGGAAGGCAGTTTACCTTGGGCAGTCCACATACTCTCAGCTTGGTCCTGGAAGACGACCAAGTAAGCCACCGCCGATCTAAGCAGTTAGTGTTAGCTACAGTGTTGGTAGAGATTGGCGTACCCTGGGATTGGCTTGGGAGAGTAACAGACGACAGTGAGGTGCCTATAGTGAACTGCTGCTAGCCGGTTGCTAAAGGCTTCTGCCAGGGGTTAGCTACCCCTGTATATGGTTGTTTGTGACCCTGATCAGTGTGTGGCTGAAGTCCTCTGCCAGCGAGTAGCTGGAGAGCGATAGTGGGGTGTAGGCACCTCGTGATACTGTGTCGGTGGTTTGGCCCAAGTAAAAGATGAACTCCCCAGTTCAGTACATGTGTACAAGGTGGAAACATTGGAGTTGATGAACATTGCCAAGTGAAAAGTGTCCTACATAAAAGTGACACGACTGTACATATGTGTATTCATAATCTATTTAATCTAATATATTTTTAACGGTGATGGTGTAAATATATTGGTGAATATACTCTTATAGGGAACTGTGTATTGTTCATCCTCCCTTATTCCTTATTGCGCTATATAACCAGTTCTTGAAAGCATACTACCGACTTGGGATCGGATACTATAAAAGAGGTTACAACATCAAGAACCCAGTTACTTGTCCTAAGTTGCGGTAACATTGGCACCTGGGGGGCACTTGTTAAATTGGAGTCTTTTAGGTAAGCATTCAATTTTTTGCAGCCATGGCAAAGTGGCTTGGAAAGTAACCAAGGGGACAAAACTTGCAAATTAAGTACTGTAGCCAACCAGCACCCCTGACTCTTTTAACGATTTGTGCAGCAATAATTGATAAATCGAATTACTCTCTCCACTGTTTCACTGCTCCAACTGCTTGAGAAATACATTTGCAATTTTCCCTGCTAATGTGAGGGGGCAGGGGCTTTATACATCAAACTAGAGCTGTGTGTGTATTGTGTCCTGGACCATAAGGCTCTGGCTTGGAGAGCAACAGACGAACTGGATCAGAAGGAAGTATTTACCAATGTGTTCAATGCTATATTTCTTTTTACTTTAAGACCTATTATATATAATTTTCACACAATAGGCATACTGTATATATTTTTATATACATGTATACATATTGTGCCAATACAGGACTATTGAGGATAAAACTGATAAAGCTGTATTGAATAAAACAAGAACACAATTTTGTGAATGAATGAAAAGTTGGACATTGTTGAAGTTAACAAAAATTCTAGTTTTGAAATCAACCTGTCGTCACACTTAATGCCCATCAATTTTTTATGCCATTGACCAGTGTCAAAATTTCGACATCTTATCAAATTAAAATCACCACAATATTGGATGTGTAAAAGCATCTGCTATGCTGAAAGCTGCTACCCCTATGTCCACATATTTCTCTGGACCAAGATGCTTCTTCTTGGCTAATCTGCAAAGTAGTGTTGATACATACATCAGATGGGTATATAAAATTGAGCCATCCAGTAGAATCAGTTCCAACACAGCTCAGTCAGTTGTAACACCTCACAGCAGCCTCAACGATGGACTCTGCATTCAACTTGCCCATACAGCCCACAGTGTACAAGTGCCACCTCACCACAAGGACTGCCTTTTAGCATTATGGTCCATAGTCTTCTGATGCCATTTCAGCATACTGTAACCCATATCAAATACAGTATACATGGTTGACTACTATTGTGTGTTAACTGTCTGGGTATCATAAAGAGTCTAAACTTTGTGTGTGTATGTGAAGTTGAATCATCTACATTACAGATGTTTCCTTCTCGAACTAATGAACATTGACCTCAATAGATTAGACCTGTAGTTAAGATTCTAAGCCTTCTGGTTATGAAAACCTACTTCATGTTTGGTGCTTGTGAAATCTTAATAACGAGCTGTTGAAGGTTCTATATATTATCCACAAGAGTACTTACACTTTCTCCTCGAAGTGCTTTCTCTACTGCCACCCCTCTTTCCTCCAGCTCTCTGGTCTTTACTTCACACTCCTCTAGCTGCCGCTGAATTTCTTGCGCCATTCTAAGCCTACAATAGAGGAAACAGTCTTTAATGAAGAACAACTATTACAGTGAAAAACACTTGGAATAAAAGATTTTTATACTTGAAGCACCCCATATGATGGTTTCATGTAGAATCACTTGGACATTTCAACTGCCTACAAAAGCTAGAGATGTAGGCTCACATCAAAAATTTGTTTAAGAATTCCACATGGTTTGTTAGCCCTCAGAGTGCAGTCATCATGATGCATTGTTTGTCTAGTGCAATGCAGTCATTGTCAGATGAAGTATATTTGTGTCAATGTTTTTGTACAAATGTATGTAGTCATTTTATTCCAATATCTCAACTTAAGTCTTCCAGCAGTCATGGTAGGCCACAAAATAGTTTGAAGTCTGATTTCAACTTCCAGTTCCTCATCAACAAATGATGACAACTGCACTTTGTAAAGAATGGGCATATTTGGTGAGGAGTTATTAGGTACACAGTGTACAGAATGCCATATAATGCTTCAGTAAATTTTAAATCTGGTGCCTAGCCCTAGCTCAAAAATATCAATAAGCTTTCCAACTGGAAAGGAGGCCTGGTCGAGGACCGGGCCACAGGGACACTAAGCCCCAAAATCATCTAAAAGTAACTGACATTAAAGGCTTGAAAACAGTGCATATGTGAATAGTATACAAATAGGAAATAATGGAAAGTCTTATAGATAGTGTAAGCAGGAGATAATTAAATATTAAAAAGCAAGTGTTGGAACACATTAACTGAGGGGCTTCTTGAAAATTTGAAGGCTTGGGAAATATATTTCCTACCTCTTGAGTTCTGCCTGCCTTGCTGCCTTCAGTGCTGCTGTACGATGTTTACGATTTGTTGATCCGGACCATGGACCCTGAAGGCCACGCTCCAGGGTGCCCACAGGAGTTCCTGCCGCACTTCCTCCTTCATCATCTGAGAGACTTTCCTCTGTGGCAAAAATTCATTTATTAAAATTGTAATACGGTAACAATTTAATGTCATTAATATTAACATTGACCAAGCAAATCAACATACATTACATACACAAAACTGTTTACTGTATATGGAAATATAAATAAAACCAGCATTAAATGTAATGAAATGTGAATTTCTGGGTGAGCCTCAGTGGCTCCCTGAATCTACTATACAGAGTACAATACTGATATGGTACTATCTACTACCTGTCAACATCAGGATACCAAGGATCAACGTCCTTGCTGCCCAGTCTCTGATCAGGCTTCCTGGTTGGTGGTCTGCTCAATCAGGCTGTTTGATGCGGCTGCTCAAACAGCCTGACTGGTCGCATCACCTACGGAGTCTGTATGTCCATGTTGCATTGTTTGGCCTCTGTGCTCTGTCTTGTCTCAGACTTTCTATTTCTTGTGTAACTGTGGTCTGCTGCACAATCTTTTCCATTATTACACAAGTGATTTCTTGAGTCTGTTGTTTTGAGGAGCCCTGTGTCATGTGTTAGCAATTGGTAATGGTCTTTGCCACGATCTTCACAATGTTCTTCAGCTGGCCCCAGTGCTAGAACCTGGCCCACTCACAGAGGCACAGGAAGTGGTGACATTTATCTTTGTTATCACACTGGGGAAGGCAACCAGAAAGTCAGCAAGTCAAAACAAACCACTTCAAAAAGAGGCCGAAGCCCTGAAATCCACTTAACCACTGCACTGCACCGCCCAACAATACTTGAAGCTGGCATTGAACCAGATTTTAAGATATCGTACGATTCAAAACAAGCGCACGCGGTGGGTTGGGTATGAGATGGATGCCTGGGACCTCCAGTAAGAGGCAACCATCTTGAAAAAAATTCCCAGCATGCTATAGGGCTGCTGATTGGCTCAGTTCTGAGTGAGCAACCATGGGTGGCGAACGCGCCTCTGGCTCCCAATTCCCCGTCTAACTCTGTGTTGAAAGATTGCTCTCTAACGGTGAAATTCAGACCTTAATGCTTGAAGAAGATAAGAGTAGTGATATTGATGGAGCATGGAACAATAACGACCTAACACTAGTGTCTCATACAAGTGATACAACACGGATGAGGAAGATACAGCGAGCGTATGCAGTAGAGGTTGAGCTCCAGGTGTGCTGCAGCCTCCCAGGCCATCACACTCACCATTATCATCACCACCCGTGTCATCTCTGATTTTTGAATAGTGATACTAAAGATGAATCATTTTCTGGATTCAGTGACACTGCTTCTGATACAAGTAGTATAGATGAACAGAGAGTTAGTGGCTTCCATGGTGGTGTTATTATGCCAGTGGTGGTGGTGCCAGTACAAAGAGCACAGGAAAATTCGCGAGGGAGGACTGTGATAATTTTGTGCCATACAAACGACAATTTTATGATTCTGATGTTGGTGTTGCACCCACTTTCCCATATACAGGTGAAGATATGAGTGATACCAGGACAGATATGAGATATCAGGACAGAATTTTGTCATTGATCTTTTCCAAGATCTTTTCAAGACTACCTTACACATTGATCTTTTCCTAGATCTTTTCAATCCTACCTTACACACTGATCGTTTCCTAGATCTTTTCAATCCTACCTTACATATGTCAAAAGCTTGGCTACATACTACCTACAGGAACTAAAGCCAAGGGTGTACATGAGAGCGTTGTTTGCAAGCACACAGAACGAAGAAACAAGAAGCAAAAATCTGTGTGTACCTGGTGCATCGAGTGTCAAGTCGCGCTGTGTACCATGCACGGCTTCTTTGATCATCACTCACTTCCGAAGTACTAAGTGTGTAATACAGTTCAATTGTATTGAACAGTGTAATAAACTTTACACTTTATACAGTGTAATAAAGTTCAACCCAGGAAAGTGTAAAGTGATGAAATTAGGCAAAGGGAGCAGAAGGCTGAATACAAGGTACTATCTGGGAAGTGAAATCCTGCAAGAGTCAAAGAGAGAGAAAGATCTGGGGGTTAATATCACACCGAACCTGTTCTCAGAGGCTCACATCAAAAGGATATCATCAGCAGCATATGCCTGGTTGGCCAACATAAGAACTGCCTTTAGAAACTTGTGTAAGGAATCATTTAGGGCCCTGTACACCATATATGTCAGACCAATCCTGGAATATGCAGCTCCAGCCTGGAGTCCATACCTAGTTAAACACAAGATAAAGTTAGAGAAGATTCAGAGGTATGCCACCAGACTCGTCCAGAAACTGAGAGTTATGAGCTACGAGGAAAGGCTAAAGGAGTTGAACCTCACGTCCCTGGAAAACAGAAGAATAAGGGAAGATATGATAACCACCTACAAAATTCTCAGACGAATTGACAGGATGGACAAAGACAAACTCTTTAGCATGGGTGGAACATGAACAAGGGGACACAGGTGGAAACTTAGTCCCCAAATGAGCCACATAAACATTAAAAAGAATTTTTTCACTGTCAGAGTAGTTAACAGATGGAATGCATTAGGCAGTGATGTGGTGGAGGCTGACCCCATACACAGTTTCAAATGTATATATGATAGTGCCCAGTAGCCTCAGGAATCTGTACATCAGTTGATTGACGGTTGAGAGGCGGGACCAAAGAGCCAAAGTTCAACTCCCGCAAGCACAACTAGGTGAATACAGTGTATGACAGTGTAATGTGTGTGGGTGTACAGTGTAAATAAATTGAAAATTGAATAAGTTTGAATATTGAATAAGTAATATTGCGACAATAAAAAAATTTGTGGACACATTAGTGACACATACAGTTCCTTGGAACAATATGAACATTTATGTACATATTGTAAAGGACATAAATGTGCATCAGATACGATAAAAAAAATTATTAGAAAGCATTGAAAATGCATTGTAAAAATGAATGAAAGTACTGTATATTTGTGGCAACTTGCGGGTCTTGAATTACCTGCGCGACTGTCTCTGGGAGATTCCTGCACGGCCGAACACGTATCGGTGATGTCATATTGCATCTTCTCCAGGTCGCCACAGCCAAAGTTGTTTTTTATATTTATTTTTACATGTACATGTTTTGGGAAGAGATTTGAACAATTTACAAAGAATTTTTTTTTTGTTTTTTTTTGGGGGGGGGGGGGGGGGAATTTTATTTTTGACGAATGTCACAATAAATGCCGTGCAGCGAAAGTTAAAGAACTTTCCCCAACTATGCAAACAAATAATTGAATTCTCTTGGAATTAGCAGGAGCTCATTCGCCCCACCTCCCCCACTCATTTGGAAGAAGGGGGAGGAAGTTCACCGAAATGTAGCTGTGAAATAGAGCCGAGGCAGTACAGACCCCAAAAGCAAGTTGAAGTGGCTCTGCCAGCGCCAGAATATGAAGTGATAGTATCCAGCATGAGATGTTGATCAAGAAAAAACCAGCCTTGAATGTAATGAAACGTCATTTTCTGGGTGAGTCCCGGAGGCTCCCCGGAGCTATCCAGGCTGAATGGATATGTATAACTTTCTGGTATCAGTCAAAGTGCTTGGAGTTCTTGCCTACCGGGGACCACGAGCCAGAATCTGGTCCCCCCCTCAGAGAGGCACGAGAAGCAAGGGCCTATAGAAACCCCCCTGTGGTTGTAAGAAACCCCCCTTTATGATTCGCATGATTCATGCGAATCATGAATTTGACCATAAAACTAGACAAAATATGTTTCTGAACAAGGGAAGTCCTGTGCAGAGGACACAGCCAGCGTAATTCAACAGTAGCCGAAAAGAGTAAGTAGCAAAACATACATAGCTGGCTTTTCATTTGGGCTACAAGGAGCCCAATTGGGCTACAAGCAGCCCAATCTGGCCACCCTGTGCAGGACAGGAGGTCCGAACCGTGCAACCCACTAAGCGGGAAGGCACCAACGAGACACACTGAAAGAAAATGAGCAGTGCCGAGACAAAGCACGGAGAGAAAATGCAACCACAAAGAACGAAAAAGGACCAAAAACTGAAAAGAAGCACGGAAGAGGACCAACAAGCCCTAGAACAGACCGGAGGAAAGCCACACTGGAAGACGACAGATGTTCCAATAATACGGGAACAAGCGAAAATCTTCCTGAATCTTCGAGAACATATAGAAGCAAGCACAGAGCACGAAGGCACATAAAGGCACAGTCGCACCAGAGACCAAAAGTCATGCAGAACCCCTAGAAGAGAGGAACATGATGGAGAAGTTCCGTCTCAAGAAGAAGGGTGACTACACGGAGAAAATTTTCCCTGACAGGAAGGACTCGACAGATCCAAGGGACAGGGAGCCGAACCCGGGGAGGGGCCGACACCCAACAACTCGTACAGAGAGAGAGGGGGGGGGGGGAACCCACTCCTCGTATACCTCGGTGGGGTCCAACGGGGCCTGAGGGGTCCCCCATGTAAGCCCCTCTCCAGCCCCGGGAACCCACTCGGCAGGCCAGGGGCCAAGCCGTCCCTCCAAAGCCCCAGCCTCCCAAGTAAATGCCAGGGCAGCCGGAAAAGTACTAAAGAAGGCAGCCCACTGGCAGACTCATACAACGAGGCTGGAGGAACAGGCTCGAATGTCTCCGTCACACTCCCGGAACGGGAATTCCCCGAGATTGCCCAAGTCTCAAGACCATTACAGCCCCGCCCCGACCCCAAACCTACAGACGGTAAGGATACGGATGCAGGGAAGAAGGGGGACCCCGGACGAGCAATAACAGGGAAAAGACAAGGGGCGCGGAAGGGAACAAAACTGAAGCAACCAACATCCCCAAGCCCCGTCACACCAATCAAAACGGGGCAGCCTCGGGGATTTCGGGGAGCAAACAACCTAGCGTGTTGCCATTACCTAAACTCAACATGCAATGCCCATACTGCCAGTACCCGCATAGTCAGCAGAAGTCAGCAACTTACCGACGACGTAATTGAGCCGACAATATGGGCGATGATGTCACACCCTGCATGATCGCTCATGCACGGTGCATCCCAGAGGCGTCGCGCGCGGTCTTCAAGCAGCCAGAGTTG